GTCTAAGATGTTATAATATTTTTCAGTCGATATTTCATACAGTAAAACATACTATATTAAATTTAGCTTTCTAAAAAATTCAAAGAAAGGATTATATTTGTTCTCAATAATGATGCAAAGTGTTGTCCAGCAACACAAGATATCACATTAGAGCTATCTATAATTTAAAAATGCTCAATGCAAAAATAATAATAATAATGAAAATAATAATAATAATAATAACAATAATAATAAAAACAATAACAATATAATAATAACAATAATAGTATTATTAATGATATTATTAAATATATTAATAATGATAATGATAATAATAATAATAATAATAATAACAATAACAATGATTATTATAACAATACACAGCATTTTTACAATGATATGTAGTTATGTGACATTGTTGCATGATTCCATATAAATAAATAAATAAAAATATATATACTTTTATGAAAATAAGATACAAAACCATTTGCGACAATAAGCACCAAGTGTATCAAGCTAATCTAAATTGAATCAGCTATTAAATACTAACCATGTAGTTTGTGTTAATTACAATCGTGCCCAATGTGATTTGTTGCTGGGCGTAAATGAACATACTCCAAAATTTAAATCCAAAAAGAAAAAGAAAAAAAAAAAAACCCAATTCCCAAATTTAATATACAATGTTTTATATTACATTTGCCAATGGAGATTCATATCAGCTTGAATTAGCAATAAGGGTATCAAAACCAAACTTAAATCTCAATAGAAACCTTTATGTTAATGGTGATTGTAAAATTGTAAATGGACCAGTAAAGTCGAGCACACATTGCGCCGACAGTCATCGGGCGACGCGATTTCCATGGATAATGCGCGAGCAACGGATAGTCTTAAATGAACTTATTTATACTGGGTAACATGTTCACTAAAATTCTACTTTTCTCCCAAAAGGCCTGGTTACCATATGCTTTACAAACTAAGTCTGATAAAGGCTTAGAGAATGGCATTAGTTTAGATTTGATGCCTGCTATCACAGGAATTGAACCCATGACTCTGAGATTAGACAACTAAACTATCTACTCCCCTTTTATAGAAATGTCATTTCAACTACAATCCGCTGTCGGATAATCTGCTGGCAAAATTAGCAGACGGCGTCGCGTTGTGAGTTGCTCACAGAGATCGGAGATCTCTTCGGCTGGCGGTCGTACGACCGTCAAACGACGCAATGTGTGCCCAGTGAGATTATTCTAAATGAAATTATATAAATACTAATAGCTATAAACAAATCATAATAATTGTATTACACATTGTGATTATGACTTAACAAATAAGAATATTTTATACCTTATCGTTAATTAAAGAAGTACATTAGTTCTCAATTTAAAATTTACTTACAAATTCAGTTAACAGATATAGTTACACTCGGTGTTAAAAGTTACAAAATAAAGCAATCTAATACAGAGTTTGTCCATTGTCGTAGAGAAAATGCAACTTGTATATAAAATAGGGCTCTAATCAAATGCAAAGTACCACTTGAAGAAAATGTAAAACGAATAATGGACGAACATTTATTTAAATATCAATGACTTGTATTGGAATCGAGGAACGACTACCATCGGCCAACTCATTCACTGTCTAGGGCATGAATCCGCCTGGAGAACCTGGAATTACGATTAACAAAAAAAAATCAATTAGTTTGTCACTAAAATATACTGCACAGGCTGCTGAAAGTTTAGTGTTTCTTGTGGGTCCTACATGTTGAAAAGCATGTGTATAGAATGCATTTATTTACTGGCACGGTAGATTTGCTAATATGTTATCTAACATGTACTTTATTTTCAAACAGTATTGGGCCCTCAAGAGAGAGTACCATGCAGTCACAGACAAACCGTTCAAGCGTCTATGAAAATATACTGCGAGATCATTAATTATAGCATTGGGGTAATTACATACCTTTATCAATGTGTCTGCAAGTATTATATGTAATTGGAAGAAATAGTTCATCATAAGGAAACTGATTAATTGTTGTGCAGAAATATGAACAACAAGCAGATCTAAACTAGTGCATCATTTACAAAAAGTATGTAGTTTACCTGGTTTTAAGTCTGACGTTTCTGGTTCGATTTGTTTCTGTTCGCATTCGCCTTCATGTGCTATCACTATCTCTGGCGTATTTTCTCTGCACATGACAGCTTCAAAAACACACCTAGAAACGTAAGTCACTCCATCGCTGCCACACACGATTTCACTCAGAGGAACCAGGGGACACGATGCCTTACAAGTAGGCTTAGGTGTTGGCTGAGGTTCTTCTGTTGACGCTTTCCTGCTAGGGGTTGCTGGTGACTTAGTGGTGACAACTATAGGAAATTATTACAAATAAAAAAAAATATGATTTTTGCATTTACTACCATAAGCAACGGTACTTACGTGGTTCCTCATTACGAATAAATGACCAAATTTAGCCTATTTACAATTAGGTTTACCGTACTTATTCATTAACATTTATTTATTTTATTCCTTCAGCAATACATGAAACACCTTAAAAACTATATTACTAAGAAAAATATTAATAAATAAATAAAAATAAACATTGTTACAGTTAAACATTTGTATTAGATTCAACAGCTGACAAGAAATAAAAATAATATTAAACAATTACCATGATATCAAAATGTAAAAGAAATGTTCGCGTTTCTTATGTTTGTTCATTTTTAAAACTAACTTTAAATATTGAATGATACATTTTAGTCTTTATTAAACGTGGATAGCACCCATACAGTAAACTCACAATTTACTTTTGCACAATCCATTCGGCTTTCATTGGCTGATTTAGTTTTATTTTTATGTGTTTTTCTTTTTAAATTTTGTCTTTCCTGTTTGTCACTGTATTATAATTGTTTCTATCGACAAAATGAAGGATATGATTATAATATGAAATGTTTAAATAGAAGTTGGATAATGAGTTAGCAAATAAACGGTAGATAAAATAAAAAGAAATTAAAAAATGAATGTCATACCATTGACCTGAGGTGAATTTACACCGGGTTCTTGAGCATTTCCCGCGTCTCCTCCAACAACCACTGTTGCGTTATCCATATCTCCAGGAAGCCCCTGTACCGGTTCAGTGGTGATGATTTGCGGTCTCATAGAAGCAGGGGCATCAGTGGTATCAAATGCAGCATTAGTAATTTGGATAGGTGGATCTGTTATCGAAGGTTGTATGTCACTGCTGGCGAGACTACCCCCTCTCAAAGAAGTGCTATCTGTAAAAATTCAGAAAACAACACTGCCGTATATCATAACAATAAAGTTATACTTAAGTCAGTCCTATTAATATAGGACTGTACCGTATATATTTCAACACTTTCGAGAGTCGCTCTTTTACATTGGTTCTCTTGTAACTATATGTTATGCCAATGTGATTTAAATGCAACTTGGATTTTCAAATTATTGTCTGCTCAACGTAATGTAAAAATGTAGAAATGTAAAAGAATATGAGGTGACGCTTTGGAATAATCTACAATATTTACTCCTGTAATACACTATGATACCTGAGGGAGATGTCAGTTCACATTCCAATGGAATACTTTTTTTTATTGAAACAAATAAATGAATTATTATGAATGACAAATCAAGTATTAAGTTACTTGTTATTTTGTTATTTGGGTAGAGCCTTCCTTTAGGTACGAAGCGCTTTGTTCCCTGGTCCACATGCTTAACTGTTGTTGCCATATTGGCGCAGTAGCAGGAAACCCCACCAGGTACACATTTATACTCCAGGGTGGTGGAGAAAAGCAACACAGATATGACAGTGTACGTAAAGGGATTGAAACCCCGACCTTGAGGTTGGAAAACTAAACCGTTTCAGCTGCTCCAAACCGCTTAAACAGTAGTGTTGTATAAGCTGGACGGTACAAAATACAAGCTAAGCTTCCTGGGACTTCTGAATTTATCTATAAGTACATGACTATGTATGTATCGATGTCAATAAAACATATTGGTGGTATACTAACCGCTCGGTGAACTTTCATAATCTTCAGAGCTATTTTCTTCTGAGCTATTTTCTTCTGAGTTTCCTTGTTTATTTTGATTATATGCTTTATTATTTTGGAAACCGTTGTTAGCTTCTTCATTCAAATTGATGTCTGAAAAGAAAAAAAAAGAAAAAAAAAAACACAAGCTCATTTAAGCTTACTGGTAATCAAATTGAGAAGTCAGTACCTGAATCCAATTCTAAATTAAACAAGATAACATGAGAGTACAAACCCTCGACCTGTTGCGCCATATCTATGTATACTGAGTCGATTCGATCTATCCGCTGAGTGTTGTTGTATAACAGGGGTGTAATATTACCAGCTATACATATTTATCAGGTAAAGTGTAGCCGAGCGGTAAAAGGGTACGTATTATGTGTAAAGCATGTATGGAGTCCAAATCTTTCTCTTGTTTGTTTTTTTCTTTTTGTTTTTTGTTTTTTTTATTATATTGTTATTATTATTAACTTCTTATTATTTGTGCATCTATATAATACTTTTTTTCGATATTTTATTGTTTTTCACATTTTTTCTGTATAAAATTGTGAGATATACGGCCAGAAAATATTAAAAACACATAAAGTCTGCATCTTCTCTAATCAATCCGCCAAGCATCACAGGCCTCAGGTGACAAGCCTATCAATCAGGCTTGGAATACCCTCGCCTCTTCCTCCGGTAACGAGGGTAATAATTAAACAATATATTCATCAAAATGTGTTCGGTATTACTTCTTTAAAAATTTAAGATGAAAAATTAATATTACTAATAGCAATAATAAAATAACATAACAGCAATAATATTGATATTACCGTTATTTTTCATATTATTATATCATTCTTATTAATCGTTATCTAATTGTTACTATTATTCCCTATTATACTTACTTCTCCAGTTAAGATGGTAGAGGTAGTCATACAGTGAAACTGAGCTGCTTTCGCGATAGTATGAGTTATATGGGGCAGCGGATGTCAAAGCTACAACACAGCACACTACAAGTATACACACTTTCATCATTTTGAAACTATGGAAAACAGAATTGAGAAAATTAGATGTTTCCACTGTATAATTTCCACTACACTTTTAAATCTCAACTTGATGCATTTGTTGGTAAATTATCGTCTCGAGTAGCGAGCATTGGCATAACCCTGATTGTTGGTCTAAAACTATGTTCTTGATTTGCTAAAAAGTTAGGGAATGTTGCGTATTGTTGTCGCCATCAGACATTATGAAGTGGTCTAGGTTGATAGGCCCTATTTCTAGATTTTTACATATTGATGACATATTCATTGTACAGTTTGTTCAATGATGATGCATGGGATACTGATGTCAGTTGATTGACTTTTAACAATTACACTGTCTGTTTCTCCTTATATACTCTAGTTCAAAACTCAGATAGTCAGTTGTTTGACTGACATAAAACCGAAAATGACACATATACTATTACCGAACCCTTGCAATCATAGCAAATTAAATATAATAACATAAAGATTGCTTTAGGCTAAATGTCAACGACACTATGACTGGGAATATAAAACCAGGGCGATGAGGGATCAAAAACAAACTAGTATTAGCTTTGAGTTATGGTGCAGCTGAAACACCCTCTCTACCTTAAAATTTTTAAAATTGAATAAATTGTGTTTGATTTTATGTTAAAGTAATAAATAATTTGAGAGAATTTAAGTGGAAACAATTATTAACATTGAAATTAGTAACCATAAGTATTTATGTTGTATAATTGTATTTAACTGGAATTTTAACACCGCTAAAAATGTGCAAACCAAAGTGTGCCTGTTCTTCGAAAGTTTGCACCGAGGTCCAGTTAGTCTAATATTCTGGATGTTACTTGTGTGTAACTTTTTAGGTATCAGCATTGTTTTTAAGTTTTTATTTTAAACAGTAAGTCTAGTATTTGGAAAATATATTTGGTTTGTACCATATTGTAATCATAATGAAAATAAAAAAAATATGTTGCTTCTAGTTTAAAAAACTTACCTGGTTTTGTTGTCAGTCCAGGAGACTCAAACTTATGTTGTTACTGAAATAGAGTTATTTCAAGTTGCTAGGTTAGATGACAAGACGCTTCTTTTATACGTTTTAATATTAATAGCACTAGGATTATAAAAATTCAAACTATTTATTTATTTATTTATTTGATTATTTATTTATTTATTACGGTGTAAAATATATAACACAATAGCAAAGCGCTAAATATGTTTGTATTACAAAATAGAAAAAAATATATATCCAAAAAGTAGAAAAATATATAAATACAACAACAGAAAAATATACATCAAATTTATGGAGCAGACCATTAAAAACTTACAAACAACATCAAAGTAAAATAAACATCCACAAAATAAGGCCTAAAAACGCAATCTGGATTAATTTCATTAAATGCAAGTGAATTACCATTATTAAACAGATTAACAATAGAAGGGATAGCTCAATATAGAAACCTATTTGTTTTACAACAAAATGGCCTAACCATACTACTGGATCTCAATGATCTAGTAGTATGTTGGAAAGGTGGGAGGAAATATACAAGAATATACAAGCAATAAATCAGTCGTAGGTGCATTTGCTTTCTTTAAAAGAAAAAGCAAAAACAACCTTTTTGACACCCACGAAACGATTTCAGAAATGTGCAAATTCCACTTAAGATCATCCTGAATAGTAACTAAACTATTAATTTTAATCATCATCGGCCAGAGTTACATTACCCAGTGTACAATTAGGCCTACTGAGGCTCCGTTTAAAATCGATAGAAAGAGTGTAAACTTTATTATAGCAAAAATGTCATAGTAAAAAACCAAAGTTTCATTATAATTATTATGCATTATATCATATAAAAATACATTAAATATCTAGTAAATTATTGAACTTCAAAGATAGCACCTACACCTTATACCTATCAAATACATAAGGTAAATATACAGGAGAAAAACATTTTGATACATACCGTAATTAAGACTTCCTAACACGTTGAAAGCTGTCTAACTCTGTTCTTTTTGAGAGTTCAAATACTTTATGATACTTGATTATGACGGAAACAATTACGCCTTCATTATGACGTCACTGTATTCCATGGTCTTCGGCAACTATTTCTATTTTAATATTCATTAACTAATTATGATCTAAGATTCAATTATATTCATTAATTAAATTTCCGCTCTGTGCATTTTGTTCTTATTTGCTATCGTGTACACTGAATATTCAGTATATTCGACTTTTATTTCATATTATAAAATCATGAGGTGGTAAATTATTTCTGTGCAAAGTGGTAGGTCGGAAGCTGACTTATACCAATAGAACTAATAGGAAGTGTGTCGTAGAGGTAAGTTAATCTTTAAGGATAAAGGAGATTCCCCCAATAATAATCTCGTGGGAAAAGTTTTCATTCCTACAAAAAAAAAAAAAAAAAAAAAAAAAAAAAAAAAATCCTATGACTAAGCCAAATAGTTACTATACAATTTATAATTGCACCCATAAGTCAAGAAGTCAAGGAAATGAGAGTGGTACTTTTTACTATGTATGTAAAACTAAACAATGATAGTACTTTTATTGAATAACTTATAAATTATGTTACACAAGCTTTCGCTAGCAGCCTATGTTTATTTATCAATAAAAGAAATCATCCCAAACAAGACCTTGAAAACCATTTCTAGATAAGGGGTTATTTTTTAAATAATTTGTTTATCACCTAAATTTCTTGCGTCTAGGCTGAAACATTAATAACGGCCAATCAGCAATACATCATGGGGTACAATAAACCGTAGGTATCCGACCATGCTTATATTATAAGCAGAGCCATTGTATTATTCGAATTTTCGACTACAATGTTCATAATTAGAATAGTAACTGTTGATACCAAGCCGCTTTTTTTTTGTCGCAGGAGGCGAGTACAAGACGAAACAAAGAAAGAAAAGATAGAAATTGTCATTTTATTCACTTATCTCAAAATGTGTAATGGGGCAGCCACCCATTGATGACGTTATATTAGCTAAACATTTTATATAATGGAAACATAAG